CTAGAGACGGTTGGATAAAGGGATAACTTGGATAATGGCAAGGCATGTTATGGAATAATATAAATAAATGGATTGTGAGATTGGTCATGAGAAATATAACACACCCAAACGAGGATCAATACGGCCACAACTAATGAAAGCAGCGTGGCCGCTCATTGACCTAACTCGAAAGCCAACAAGATTATTGGTAGTGAGCAAATATATAAAAGGGATAGCGCAAACGCAGTCCCCACTAGCAGAAATAAAACGACCGAGTTATCCACATTTGGGATAATCGCTAGGGTCAATTTAGTCTGGGTGCAATGACTAAACCTCGCCTAGGCAGAACAGCCTTCGTGATCGCGGTTGACGGCCTCGTCAGGTAGGTATGATTTGGGACGATTGGTTGCGCATCCTGAATGAATGTTCTATGCTAAATGTTGAGAAGAAGTTCTCAACAATAAAAACGATATGTGCAAAAGTTGCGAAAACGATATGTGCAAAATTTGCAATTTTAATTGATTCGTCTGTCAGTAACGTAGAATACGATTCATTGCGTTCAAATCTTTTATGTGATACATCGCGAGTTCTTTGCCATCCGATGCAGAATGAAGCTGAACAACTTTACAAGAAATAGCAAGAACCAGGGGTTGAAATATTAAACTATAAACAAAGAGCCACAGCCCCAATACGTACCTTGGACAGCAAACAATGATACTTCCAAATCTTGGCGCTCATTCTATTGCTCAATCAATGGCAACACAATCTGAATGTGGAACTGCAAATAAGGAATCAATCTAGAGACGGTTGGATAAAGGAAATAACTTGGATAATGGCAAGGCATGTCATGCAATAATATCAATGAATGGATTGTAAGATTGTTCATGAGAAATATACCACACCCAAACGAGGATCAATACGGCCACAACTAATGAAAGCAACGTGGCCGCTCATTGACCTAACTCGTAAGCCAACAGGGTATTAACAGGGTTCTGGTCGTGAGCAAATATATAAAAGGGATAGCGCGAACGCAGTCCCCACTAGCAAAAATTACACGACCGAGTTATCCACATTTGGGATAATCGCTAGGGTCAATTTAGTCTGGGTGCAATGACTAAACCTCGCCTAGGCAGAACCACCATCGTGATCGCGGTTGACTGCCTCGTCAGGTAAGTGTGATTTGTGACGATTGGTTGCGCATCATGAATGAATGTTCTATGCTAAATGTTGAGAAGAAGTTCTCAACAATCTCAACAATAAAAACGATATGTGCAAAAGTTGCAATTTTTTTTGATTCGTCTGTCAGTAACGTAGAATACGATTCATTGCGTTCAAATCTTTTATGTTATACATCGCGAGTTCTTTGCCATCCGATTGCAGAATGAAACTGAACAACTTTACAAGAAATAGCAAAGAGCCAGGGTTTGAAATATTAAACTATAAACAAAGAGCCACGACCCCAATACGTACCTTGGACAGCAAACAATGATACTTCCAAATCTTGGCGCTAATTCTATTGCTCAATCAATAGCAACACAATCTGAATGTGGAACTGCAAATAAGGAATCAATCTAGAGACGGTTGGATAAAGGTATAAATAACTTGGATAATGGCAAGGCATGTCATGGAATAATATAAATAAATGGATTGTAAGATTGGTCATGAGAAATATAACACACTACTACCACAACTAATGAAAGCAACGTGGCCGCTCATTGACCTAACTCGTAAGCCAACAGGATATTGGTAGTGAGCAAATGTATAAAAGCGATAGCGCGAACGCAGTCCCCACTAGCAGAAAAAGCCACGTGGCCGCTCATTGACCTAACTCGTAAGCCAACAGGATATTGATAGTGAGCAAATGTATAAAAGAGATAGCGCGAACGCAGTCCCCACTAGCAGAAATTACGCGACCGAGTTATCCACATTTAGGATAATCGCTAGGGTCAATTTAGTCTGGGTGCAATGACTAAACCTCGCCTAGGCAGAACCGCCTTCGTGATCGCGGTTGACTGCCTCGTCAGGTAAGTATGATTTGTGACGATTGGTTGCGCATCATGAATGAATGTTCTATGCTAAATGTTGAGAAGAAGTTCTCAACAATAAAAACGATATACGCAAAAGTTGCAATTTTAATTGATTCGTCTGTCAGTAACGTAGAATACGATTCATTGCGTTCAAATCTTTTATGTGATACATCGCGAGTTCTTTGCCATCCGATGCAGAATGAAGCTGAACAACTTTACAAGAAATAGCAAAGAGCCAGGGTTTGAAATATTAAACTATAAACAAAGAGCCACAGCCCCAATACGTACCTTGGACAGCAAACAATGATACTTCCAAATCTTGGCGCTCATTCTATTGCTCAATCAATGGCAACACAATCTGAATGTGGAACTGCAAATAAGGAATAAATCTAGAGACGGTTGGATAAAGGGATAACTTGGATAATGGCAAGGCATGTTATGGAATAATATAAATAAATGGATTGTGAGATTGGTCATGAGAAATATAACACACCCAAACGAGGATCAATACGGCCACAACTAATGAAAGCAGCGTGGCCGCTCATTGACCTAACTCGAAAGCCAACAAGATTATTGGTAGTGAGCAAATATATAAAAGGGATAGCGCAAACGCAGTCCCCCACTAGCAGAAATAAAACGACCGAGTTATCCACATTTGGGATAATCGCTAGGGTCAATTTAGTCTGGGTGCAATGACTAAACCTCGCCTAGGCAGAACAGCCTTCGTGATCGCGGTTGACGGCCTCGTCAGGTAGGTATGATTTGGGACGATTGGTTGCGCATCCTGAATGAATGTTCTATGCTAAATGTTGAGAAGAAGTTCTCAACAATAAAAACGATATGTGCAAAAGTGCGAAAACGATATGTGCAAAATTTGCAATTTTAATTGATTCGTCTGTCAGTAACGTAGAATACGATTCATTGCGTTCAAATCTTTTATGTGATACATCGCGAGTTCTTTGCCATCCGATGCAGAATGAAGCTGAACAACTTTACAAGAAATAGCAAAGAGCCAGGGTTTGAAATATTAAACTATAAACAAAGAGCCACAGCCCCAATACGTACCTTGGACAGCAAACAATGATACTTCCAAATCTTGGCGCTCATTCTATTGCTCAATCAATGGCAACACAATCTGAATGTGGAACTGCAAATAAGGAATCAATCTAGAGACGGTTGGATAAAGGAAATAACTTGGATAATGGCAAGGCATGTCATGGAATAATATCAATGAATGGATTGTAAGATTGTTCATGAGAAATATACCACACCCAAACGAGGATCAATACGGCCACAACTAATGAAAGCAACGTGGCCGCTCATTGACCTAACTCGTAAGCCAACAGGGTATTAACAGGGTTCTGGTCGTGAGCAAATATATAAAAGGGATAGCGCGAACGCAGTCCCCACTAGCAAAAATTACACGACCGAGTTATCCACATTTGGGATAATCGCTAGGGTCAATTTAGTCTGGGTGCAATGACTAAACCTCGCCTAGGCAGAACCACCATCGTGATCGCGGTTGACTGCCTCGTCAGGTGAGTGTGATTTGTGACGATTGGTTGCGCATCATGAATGAATGTTCTATGCTAAATGTTGAGAAGAAGTTCTCAACAATCTCAACAATAAAAACGATATGTGCAAAAGTTGCAATTTTTTTGATTCGTCTGTCAGTAACGTAGAATACGATTCATTGCGTTCAAATCTTTTATGTTATACATCGCGAGTTCTTTGCCATCCGATTGCCGAATGAAACTGAACAACTTTACAAGAAATAGCAAAGACCAGGGTTTGAAATATTAAACTATAAACAAAGAGCCACCGACCCAATACGTACCTTGGACAGCAAACAATGATACTTCCAAATCTTGGCGCTCATTCTATTGCTCAATCAATAGCAACACAATCTGAATGTGGAACTGCAAATAAGGAATCAATCTAGAGACGGTTGGATAAAGGTATAAATAACTTGGATAATGGCAAGGCATGTCATGGAATAATATAAATAAATGGATTGTAAGATTGGTCATGAGAAATATAACACACTACTACCACAACTAATGAAAGCAACGTGGCCGCTCATTGACCTAACTCGTAAGCCAACAGGATATTGGTAGTGAGCAAATGTATAAAAGGGATAGCGCGAACGCAGTCCCCACTAGCAGAAAAAGCCACGTGGCCGCTCATTGACCTAACTCGTAAGCCAACGGATATTGATAGTGAGCAAAATGTATAAAAGAGATAGCGCGAAAGCAGTCCCACTAGCAGAAATTACACGACCGAGTTATCCACATTTGGGATAATCGCTAGGGTCAATTTAGTCTGGGTGCAATGACTAAACCTCGCCTAGGCAGAACCGCCTTCGTGATCGCGGTTGACTGCCTCGTCAGGTAAGTATGATTTGTGACGATTGGTTGCGCATCATGAATGAATGTTCTATGCTAAATGTTGAGAAGAAGTTCTCAACAATTAAAAACGAATATACGCAAAAGTTGCAATTTTAATTGATTCGTCTGTCAGTAACGTAGAATACGATTCATTGCGTTCAAATCTTTTATGTGATACATCGCGAGTTCTTTGCCATCCGATGCAGAATGAAGCTGAACAACTTTACAAGAAATAGCAAAGAGCCAGGGTTTGAAATATTAAACTATAAACAAAGGAGCCACAGCCCCAATACGTACCTTGGACAGCAAACAATGATACTTCCAAATCTTGGCGCTCATTCTATTGCTCAATCAATGGCAACACCAATCTGAATGTGGAACTGCAAATAAGGAATAAATCTAGAGGGACGGTTGGATAAAGGGATAACTTGGATAATGGTAAGGCATGTCATGGAATAATATAAATAAATGGATTGTAAGATTGTCATGAAAAAATTTAACACACCCAAACGAGATCAATACGGCCACAACTAATGAAAGCAACGTGGCCGCTCATTGACTTAACTCGAAAGTCAACAGGATTATTGGTAGTTAGGCAAATATATGAAAAGGATAGCGCGAACGCAGTCCCACTAGCAGAAAATTACACGACGAGTTATCCACATTGGGGATAATCTCTAGTGTCAATCTAGTCTGGGTGCATGACTAAACCTCGCCTAGGCGGAACCGCCTGTCGTGATCGCGTTGACTGCCTCGCAGGTAAGTATGATTTGTGACGATTGGTTGCGCATCATGAATGAATGTTCTATGCTAAATGTTGAGAAGAAGTTCTCAACAATGAAAAACGATATGTGCAAAAGTTTGCAATTTTAATTGCATTCTCTGTCAGTAACATAGAATAACGATTCATTGCGTTCAAATCTGATTTTTTGCCATCCGATGCAGAATGAAGCTGGAACAACTTTACAAGAAATAGCAAGGACCAGGGGTTGAAATATTAAACTATAAACAAAGGCCGCAGCTTCGATACGTACCTTAAACAGAGAATAATGATTTTTCGAATCTTGGCGCTGCATTCTATTGCTCAATCAATGCAAACAATGCCAGTATTCCCATACCAAAGTTGGATTAACCGTACTGTCAAACTGTACAGCTGTACTGACAGTGACAGACTGGTGACAAAATAACTGGACATGGTTCGCCAATACGATTTATAATCCAGCCTATTTATAATAACAACAAATATAGTAATATAAATACACCAGTTCAGGAAAATGTAAGTTAAACAGAAAATAGCTAAAAAGAGATTTATAACTCTTACAACTACCCACTTTCCCAAGCACTCATACAGCCGTTGTGAATCAAGCAGAAAACAAGGAACTACCGGTAATAATTCTGGGGTTTTTCAACGAAAATCCCACACAGTAAAAAATCCCCCATTGAAAATATTTCTTCAAATAAACAATTTATATTCCTACACAGAAATTAAAGTTTACAGACAATGAAGCAAATTTTTACGTTACTTAGACTTATTGAGTAATTAGGGGTAATATTCGCAAACCATGGAAGACTATACAAAATAATTAGATTTATGAGGGGGAACACTATGATTCCACGAAAAATATATGCAAGTCTGAAGGTTTAAAAACAAAATAAAATACTATCAGAAACTGTTACTACTTTGGACAACGATTTTTAATAGTCACAAGTTAAAATACAAAGAACGGTGAGCAACCAACCTTTATGAGTAAAATGCTCTATAAAATAAATCAAAATCTATTTTACCTCACATTTAATGCAAACTCAACAATTTGGGACCAATTCAAACATCAATTCGCTTTTGGAAGTAACTTTAATCACAAGCATGTGTTTTATTCACAACTCTGTAGAGCAGGGGTTCCCATAACCGCAGCCCGCGGTCCAAATCCGGCCCGCGTAACAATTTAAAATGGCCCGACGAGCTTACGTAAAATAGTGTTCAACCAGATTTCATTTCTACCTTTTTGCCGATCTAGATACCGTTAATTTATGTCATTATCAGAGTTCAAGCAAGTGTTATCGTAACAATTCAATTAATACCAGTATATCCATTATGGGTACCGGTGTTAGAATTACAAAGGACAGTAATTTAGTTATCAGCCATATAGGAAGCTTAAAGATGTCAGAAACCAAACGAAAACTAGACTCAGAAAACTGACGTTTCTTGAATAAATGGCACTGTTCGTATTTCTCCATTGAAAAGTATCAAACTTTAGAGATTTGTCTACTTTGCCAACAAACTATTCCAGTTCTGAAGGAATACAACATTGAGCGCTATTATGAGTCAAACGAGCATGTTTCAAAAAATGACAAATGAAATTTTGGGCGCTACATTCTTCCGGCCCGCGAACATCTTTCCGATTTTCCAATTTTGGCCCGCGGCCAATAAAGTTTGGGAACCCCTGCTGTAGAGGCTTTGAAAATCTTCAAAAAAAAAGATTGTTTCTATATTTGGCGGAAACAAAAATTTGATAAAGTGATTTTGAAAAATTTTCGAGGCCACGATCATCATATAATAAATGATCAGAAATGAAATGTGACTTAAGTGTATATAAGCCTTCAAAATTTTAGATGACTGTCACAGTCTTTCGCGACTCCTTATCTATTGTTAAGAATCTCTCACTTGTATGAATTCTTATGTGTATAATTACATTTATTACGATTGTCATTATACACGTTTGTCATTTTTTTGTGCTTTAATTTTCGTGTTTATTCTTGCATGTTAGAAATAAATCATCTGAATCTGTAAGAATAAATTTCCGTGTATTTCAGTATTCTGCTTTCCTAGAAGAAAAAACAATGACAAGACAATATGGAGCTAATCATTCAATGGATTTAATTTTGATCTTATAATACAAAACAATGTAACAACAGCAAACAACACGGAAAGCAAACATAACTTAGGATGAATTTGAATATGTATGCGCACCATATCCACCCAACATGACGACAAATGCAATCTAAAATTATGAAGTTTAAAGAAATTTGTAATAAAAATATTTGTAGCAAGGCAATAGATTTCCAGCAATACTAAACAAAACCTGATGTCCATAGTCATGTTCGCAGTGGACACCCGAAAACATGTTATAAAAAATAAATTACCTCCTATTCCAGACATCACTAGTCTTAAACCAACAATCCATCTCAGCATGAAATATGTCCTTCATAATAATGTAAATCGGTTAAAAAGCTCACAAACACATATCACAATTCAAATTTCATTATATTAGAGAATCTATAAAATGCCATAGAAATTTGATGCAATATTTGTTCATGTTTTCACTCCCAACAGGGCAAGCAAACACTGACATGTAGAGAGCTAATTTTTTTGAAACAACCTACCGTAAATATTTTTTGGGGTCGATATTGTCTACTCCATTTATTACACACTAGATGAGGTGGTGTGCATGGAATCAAAGATGTGTAATACATGTTAACCACTGAGCCATCGCTTCTGATTGTTAGGGCATACATAATCCAAACTTTTCGTGAATAACTAGTCTGTTGTTATTACTGGTTTGGGGATATTAGTGCATGTTTATCTATGTAGGGACATGCTGTGTCTTCTAGTTTCGCAGAGTTGTGAACCTAACTATGATAGACAGAAACTTTTATGGCCACCGCACATTCAGACATTAGGGAACATGATGATTCTTAAAGAATCTAGTCAAACAAATGTTGGTTTAGAATAGTTAAAATTGGACCAAGTTAGTACACTCATGTCATGAATAATTCATGACAGTTTGCTGTAAGTGTTCATTTTGAACCAGTTCTTTAATGGCCGCCTATAGGGCTGAGTTTTGTTCAGTGCGATCATAGTCTGCTCCGAATTGACCCGCTTAAAATAAGCAACAAAGCCGACATATTTTCAATCTAACTTCATTCAATCCTTTCCCTAAATTTTCTAGATTTAATGGGTGTTCATGATTTGAAAAATGTTCTGGATAGAAATATTAGATTATCTATATATTGGTGACGCTGTTGTTCACAGGAGAATCCCCCATTCAAATCCAACATTCCTCAAACTTCGACCAGCCGTTACGTGAACCACCAGTCCAGCATTCTTGTCCCACATAATCAATGCGGCATGGGATTCGAACATAACGAGATCAAAGCCCATATATACCTAAGTGTGCGCAACAATGAAAATTGGCCGCCATTTTCGGCGCGGCGGTGTGGCTCAACGGGCTAAGCGTTAGGAATACGCTCGCCACCGCACCTCTAATTACTCTGCGTGGGTTCGCAGGTTCGAATCCCATGCAGGGATGGTTATGTGCGAGGGGATTGCTGGACTCCTCGCCGTCGTTGGGTGGTTCACGTAACCGCTGGTCGGTTACGGCTTCCTCCACCACCAAAGTCCATGCCTCCGAAAACAAAACAATATAACTAATCCCATACCCGACTTTGAATGGTAACCGGACGAGAGGCCTTGGTTCGCCATATGGATAAGCCGTCTTATCGGCTTTCCTCTCCTCCGGGATAAATATGTAAAATCCTATCCTAACGTCGCCTGCGAGGTTACGGTGGTTCTGCGTGATCCTCGGCTAGGCTGGTAACTTCTGCTATAAAATTATAGGCTGCTCGGCGTCTAATTGCAGCGGGAATAGCAAACAGTGCAACTCTTGGAGCTATCAGCAGATGCCGAGAGAAGAAACAAATGGGAAAATAATTGTGGAGGCTGGAAATCCGGCCCTGGCAGTTCGCTGTGTGAGGTTAGTCAAACGAATGGTCTAATGTCAAACTGACATCAGGAAAAACAGGCCAGTAAACTGCAGGCTGTACAGAGTTTCAGGATGATGTCACATTTGATTATTTATATCACGTTGCCCATCCGACTCACTAAAGTTAGCCCAGAAAAGTTACCGGTGTCTAAAGTTAAGTTGAACTGCAACGATTTTCTAAACGCTGACTTCAGGTGTCACATTAGGAAGACTGTATTTAAATCATCCTAAGTACTGCAAAGTCAGAAATCAGTGCATTGAATGTATAAGATTCACTGTCATGATTGCTTGGAGTCCTGCGGTCACAACAATTCATAGTAGCCTAATTAGCAGCGATATGAACAGACAATTCGGAGCTCAGTGGAAATAATGCTTTATCTTTTAAATTCTAATCTTCTGAACTGAATGCGTGTTTAGTTCAGTCACTGTCAATTTGAACGCTTGCTATTTCAAAAATACGTTCATTTTATAACTTACAACTTATTCCATTTCCAGACTCATTTTTGAAAAATATCAATTTGAACCGAAGAGGACAGATAAATGGGAAAAAATAAAATGGGATATAGACAATATCGATGAGCCAAATTCATCAAAAAATTCAAATCATTAAAACCTGAATTAGCTATAATATTGACTGATATGAAATTTCAAAAAAGAACAATAGGCCTACAGTGAGTTTTGAATGCCACTGTAATCTGTAATTGTCAGTTTGAATGTCTTGAAATGAGTCATTTCACCTACGTTTTAGGTTTCATCAAAACATCCTACTCCAGGTGCCACCAGGACAAACCAGTTGTGTCAGAAGCCTATGATGTTGGGTCGTATACAGCACAAGAGTGTGAGACTGCTGTCTAAGCCTCAAGAATGACTTCAGAAGTAGTACTATGGCTTCTGTTTATACATATGATGTATTGTAGACTGTAGAGGACGCAATTTGATGGTTACTACTTTGCGCACAGTTGGTGGACTGTTGCATGTGTCCAGAACCACATTACACTGCGTAACAC